ATAAAACACAAAAAAAAACACATACACACACATCGGCATTTTGTTCTTCATGACTTTTTAACTGTAAAACCGAATTAAAAGGCGTTTTGTGATCGATTATCGACATTAAAAGTCTCGTTTCTTCTTTTACTGATACTACTATATTACTTCCACCTATGCGAATGTATATACGTATTAATAAAAATCGGATTAGAGGTTCGCACGGGCGAATGCGAGCGATCAGCTTTATTGTTTTCTTTGCTGTATAATTCCACCCGAGAGACTTTTCGTCAAAGTACGATTGTCGCTCGATTTCTGAAGGTAACATTGTAAATTCTCAGTATAAAACGTATACATATATTTGATAGACAAAGATATAGCGGACTGGTTAAATTTTGTTGACTGTAGAAACGTTTTTTTATTTCTCCGGATGACCTCTTTCCCAAACATTCGAAAGAAAAGTATCTTAAAACACGTTTGAGATTATAACGAATATTTCCATCAAGAAATGGGTTCGTTATTATAAGTTATTATATATTACATTCAACATATTGAAATAATATATTTTTTACAGATAAGTGATAAATATGGACCTATTTCTTCGAACGCAGTTATTTAAGAAACAAATTTTTTCGCATACATTCCACGGTAGACTGTTCTACTCAGTCGATAATAAAAAACTAAAACAATATTCAATTGAAGTGGATTTGGATGTCACGGATAGCATAGTATACGCAGGAGAAACTTTTAAAATTTACATGTTGATTTCTTAATTCTATTCTTACGTGTTTTACAAAATAAAAGAATTATATGCTGTGTGGCAGATTTTTAACTTGATATTCGGACATTACATCAGGAGGATTAAATACTATCTTTTTACAATTACAATATTTTTTACAAAAAGGTGTTCATTACAATATAAATTAAAATGACATTACGTTCAGAATTTTATAGTCGAACATTTTCACGTATATTAAAAAGAATTAAAAGAAAATGGTTTGAGAAATAAAATGAACAAAAAAGAAGTTTTTTCATAATCTAAAAATTTCAGAAAAATTTTAAGAAAAAATTAATATTATGGATATATAACACGAATCTATACGCCGTAAAAAACAACTGAAGAAAACTAGAATTTGCAGAACTGTGTAATAGTAAAAAGTATTACTTATAAAAAAATATCTTTTCAGATAGAAAAAAAATAAATTTGAATCTGACGGTAAAATTAAAATTTGCCAGAAACCATCGAATAAGGAATGGTAAGTACAACAAATTGGACTTATAAATAAAGACGGAGAAACTATTTGTTAGTCAAAAATAACATTTCAAATAAACTTTTTTTCAACTATTTTTTATGCAATTGAATTCGTTACTAAATATACCTAATAGAAATTGACATTAATAATAATAAGAAGAAATGAATAATAAACGATAAGATATGTTGTTTATTTTCGTTGATAATAGAATTTATGTGCAAAAAAATTACGAGAAAACGAGAATACTATGCTGTTCGTAGCAACTTCTCATGTATATATATATATATATATATATTTGTTCTTCAACGCTATTTCAATGATGAATTCGTACAAACTATCTAGAAAAAATCGTGTTTCGATCCTCTGCGCTCTACAGTAGAGTATACAGTATTATCGATACTGTAGGAGGCAAATTTAAATTAAAGATTTACTGTGATTGATTCGTCAATATAATTTCTGCAATTCCGTTTTTGCGCGCCACCACTACAACCGGTAATTTAGATCTGAGAAGAGATTCAAATTTCACCTACAAGTAGAGTAAAGCATTTTATGCACTTACTTGAAAATAAATGAATGATACCATGTACATTGAATTCATTCATCAATTAACATATTTAATCTATTCTTACATTTTGCTTATATTATTTCTGCCTGAACCATAGAATATCATTATATAGATAGGAATGTCATATTTCGGAACGACTTTCAGAAGGCAAGAGTAGGGTGAATTATTTGGTTCAACGATGTTATGCTAGTACCGAACATGATTGTTAGTTATCAATGATTTTGTGGAGAAGTTGGAATCCTTCCTATATATTGTTCGCGCACGAACATTGCCCGAGGAGCACGTATCTGTTTCTTGTGAATTTAAACACGGTTTCCTTAAATTAAGAATGAAGCCGAAAGCAGAGTTGACAACGCAGTCAGCATGGAAAAAATTACAAGAATATTTCGATAATAATCAATCGAAACTTAAAATAAACGATCTTTTTCAACAAGATCCTAAACGCTTTGAAAAGTTTAGGTAAGTTTTCGTCAGTCCTTGGTGAATGACCTTGATATGACCTTCTAAAGGTTATCCATCAGTAATTAGAATCATATTATAATTATTTTTCTATTTATATTAATTTGTATAGAAAATTATAATAATTATCAACTTCCCATTTTATATAATTTATTTTTTTTTCATTTTAAAATCTTAAATGATTAATATTGCTAAGAATACTTTCTCATAATTCATTAAGTGAAGATCCTGTATTAATGTTTAAATCATGAATTAGTTTGGAAATTCCAACTCCAAATGATGGCCCAATTTTACTTGATTACTCCAAAAATCGTCTCACCGATGAAGCGCTTATGCTCTTGTTGGAACTTGTATGTATTTTTATATCAAATAGATATTAAAGTTATACAAAAATTCCTTGCACAAATATATTTATATATAAGATTTTTCTAATAATGATAAATTATGTTAATTTTTAGGCACGTGAACGTGAAATAGAAGCAGCAAGAGATGATATGTTTAAAGGGGAAAAAATTAATTTTACTGAGAACAGAGCTGTTCTCCATATTGCTTTACGGAATAGATCAAATAAACCAATATTAGTTGACGATAAGGATGTGATGTTGGATGTAAATGCTGTATTACAACATATGAAACAATTTACTGAGGAGGTAGTTTAATAATAAAAATATTAAATATGATTTAATTATTACACTATTGGACTATAAATTTAATGCTTTCTTATACAATTAATATTTTTTCTATTGATTAGGTTCTCTCAAAACAGTGGAAAGGTTTCACTGGTAAACCAATAGAAGATGTTGTTAATATTGGAATAGGTGGTTCAGATTTGGTAAGTATATACATACCATGAATTGTACTAGAGATAAATATTTTTATAAATTTTTTATTGGTTTTAATATGTATGTAGGGTCCATTGATGGTCACAGAAGCACTAAAAGCATATCATATTGGACCAAGAGTACATTTTGTTAGTAATATAGATGGAACTCATATAGCTGAAACTCTTAAAAAGTTGAATCCTGAAACAACTCTCTTTATAATTGCATCGAAAACTTTTACCACTCAAGAAACAATTACAAATGCTACTTCTGCTAAAATATGGTTATTGGATGCTCTAAAAAATGTAAATAGAAAAATAAAAGTAATAATTTTTTGTTTATATCGATATTAAGTGCAACTCATTTTTAATTTAAATTGTTTAGGACGCCGCAGTTGCATGTCATTTTGTAGCATTATCTACCAATAACCAAAAAGTTAAAGAATTTGGTATTGATGAGAAAAATATGTTCGGATTTTGGGACTGGGTTGGGGGGCGTTATTCTTTATGGTCAGCTATTGGATTATCAATCTGTTTATCCATTGGTTTTGAAAACTTTGAAAAATTATTGAGTGGAGCACACTTTATGGATCAACATTTCTGCAGTGCTCCATTAGAAAAAAATGTAAGAACCATTTACTTATCTTTTAATGATTTACAATTGAAGTAAACGAATTTAGTAGAAGTATGAGTAAAGTACAGAAAACATTATTTTATAGGCACCAGTTATATTAGCTTTACTTGGCATTTGGTACCATAACTTCTATAAGGTTGAAACACATGCATTGTTACCATATGACCAATACTTACACAGGTTTGCTGCTTATTTTCAACAAGGAGATATGGAGAGTAATGGAAAATATGTGACTCGAGCAGGAAAAGTTGTAAATTACAGTACTGGTAAATATTTCATGTTATTATGCCTTAAGATAGATGCCAGAAGATAGATTTAGGGTAGATACATTTTAAGTATATATATATATATATATATACATATATATATATGTATTACTACACTTTTATCTACATCTCAATATTCCAGGCCCAATTGTGTGGGGAGAACCCGGTACTAATGGTCAACATGCTTTTTACCAATTATTACACCAAGGTACACGAATTGTACCTGCTGATTTTATAATTCCAGTACAATCGCAAAATATGGTATGACTACAATTAATAAATGAAGTGTACTTTATTTATTTTCTTACAATAAACACAATAGTAAACTAAAATATTATGATTTTAGGTACAAGGAACACGGCATCATAAAATATTACTCGCTAACTTCCTTGCACAAACTGAAGCATTAATGAAAGGTAAAAATGAAAATGAAGCAAAAACTGAATTAGAAAAGGCTGGAATGAGTCCTGAACAAGTGAATTTGTTATTGCCGCATAAGATGTTTGAAGGAAATAGACCTACTAACAGCATTCTAGTGAAAAAAGTGACGCCATTTACTCTTGGAGCTTTAATCGGTAAATGTGTAATTTGTAAATAATTTTCATATATTTCATATAGTACAAACATCAATAGAAATTGAGTAGTTTTGTATTGTATTTATCAAACTTATTAGTATAAATTCAACTATTATTGATACGTGTTTTTTTAAAGTTAATATAAGTATTTTATTTTAAAGCTATGTACGAGCACAAAATCTTTGTACAAGGAATTATATGGGATATTAATTCGTTTGATCAATGGGGGTAAGTAACAATTTTATACTTAAATAATTTTGTTTTCTGTAACCCACATTAAAGTGTTCATGATAGTTCACTTATTATAACAATAATAATAATAAAAGTTAGGTAATAAAAAAAATTTTGTGAGCTATTTTTCATTGGGTGATATACCTTTTTTATTGTGAATTTAAGTATTGTCATACATCATATGAAAATTATTTTATATTTTGTTATATTAGTATATTTTTTAATCATAGTTACAGTATATACGTATTCTATACATAGATCACATATAAATATATATCAGTATATATCTAATTAACATTTGTTTACAATGATTTTACCAAATAAAATTTAATTTTTATATTTATGAACTTTTTCAACAGTGTTGAACTAGGAAAACAATTGGCAAAGGCAATAGAACCTGAATTGGAAACTAAGGAAGCAATTACAAGCCACGATTCATCAACAAATGGATTAATTGGATTTATTAAGAGTAATCAATGAATGTGTTAAAGATTTATTCTATATGAAGCCATGTTAAAATATACTTTAGTGTTCATCAGTTATCCTAATTAAACCAAAACATTTTCTAAATGTTACTTCTGATCTTTATTTTTACAAATTATGTACAATGTAAAATATAAAATTTTTATTTACATAAACAACTGTAAAATATACATTAAAATTGTAAATTATTGAAACATGTAAAGTACAATACACAAATTGTTCAATGGAATTGTATCATATTACTTTATGTTTCTTATTATTTTAATGTTTTTATAAACATTTAATAAACAAGATAAGTAATAAATTATAA